GGTTGGAGCAGAGAAAGAAAGCAACTTTAAATGTGCTCTCAAAGCCCCCCCCCAGCCTGGAGAAGGCACTTGCCTGTTTAAATCCCTTCTCCAAACCAAGCCAGCCGGTGTAGGAGCTTGAGGGGCCTTTGTGGACACATTTAAGGTTAAAGTTGCTTTCTTTCCACCTCTCCCTCCCTCCCTCCATCCATCCATTTGCTTTCTTTTCACCTTTCTTCTACACACACTCTCTTTTTCTCCTCTCCCTCCCCATCTAAAGTTAAATGTGTTCTCCAAGCCCCACCACACTGGCCACTGGCCAGCTGGTTTGGCTTGGAGAAGGCATTTGTCTCTTTAAATCCCTTCTCCAAGCCAAGCTGACACAGCAGTGGGGAGGATTGAAAAGCACATTTAAAGTTAAAGTTGCTTTCTTTCCACCTCTCTCTCTCTCTTTCTCTCTCTCTTCCACTTCTTTCCACCCTCCCATCTATTTGCTTTCTTTCCACCCCCTCTCTCTTTCTTTCTTTTCTTTCTTTCTTCCCCTCCCTCTTCTATTTGCTTTCTTTGTTTCTTCCTGCCTTCCTTCCTCCCCTCCCCTGTCCAAGGTTCCCTCTAAACTGTGGAAGTCTTGTGATCAAAAATTCTACTTTCTGGGCTACTGGCATTAAAGTTGTGAGCGAGTGATTTGGCTACTTCATAAATTAGTTTGCTCTTTAGAGCCATCCTTCCTGAGCTAAGACAAAATTTGTGAGCTGGAGGCTATAAAACTGTGAGCTAGCTCTCACTAACTCAGCTTAGAGGGAACACTGCCCCTGTCTATTTGCTTTCTGTTTCAGTTTCTCTGTTTCTCTCTCTCTCCGTTTCCACCTCTTTCATTCTTTCCACCTTTCTCTTTCTCCCTTCTTTCAATCTTCCTCCCCCTTCCTCCCCCTTCCTCCCCATCTTTTTCTTTCTCTTTCTTTCTCTCTTCTCTCTCTTTCTTTCTCTCTTCCTTCCTTCCTCCCCCTCTCTCCATCTATTTGCTTTCTTTTTTCTCTCTCTTCCCTTCCCCATCTATTTGCTTTCTTTCCACCTTCCTTCCTTTCTTCCCCCTCCCTCCCCCGTCTATTTGATTTCTTTGTTTCTCTCTCTCTTTGTAACACTTTCATTCTTTCTTTCCACCACCCCCTCTCTCTTAGACAAAACTATCATTAGCAAACAAATAAATATCATTAGGCAAATAAATATCATTATCAATATCATTTTTACCCCTTTTGTTTTTATTTTTGGCAGTTTCATTTAATGTTAATAAAAAGCAAATTTGCAAAATTTTCAATAAAAATGTGTGTGTGATATTTGTTCATGTCTTCAGGCTCTCAAACATCTGATGCTCATTCTACGTGGCTCTTACGTTTAAGCAAGTTTGGCCACCCCTGATATACACGTTTCTGATATGTTGCCCATTCTTACCAGAACATGTTTGCATAGAATGAATGTATGAAAATGACTTATCGCTAGCCATATAGCTCTTAGCTCCAAGATACTGGTATTTAACTTGGATTTTGCCTTGGTCTAGGTCCCTTGAATAGGTCTGTCATCCAGCATTGCATGACACCACCTTCCCAGTGAGGGGGGAGACTACTTCACTTCAAGGAAACTTGGCTTCATTCTCAAATTGATCTTTGGGCTGTCAAAGTAGTCTCCCAGGGCTATGCAGTCAAGCTCTCCAATCTTCCATTGGGACATTTCATCCAGTCTCCAATCTCCAAAAGACCAGAAAAATGCAAAGGACCAATGAGGCCATTCATCATCTTTCCCTAGCGGCCACTGAGCCAGTGCCATAGAGCCCAGGCTGCAGGGGGGAGTGAGAGAAGTGAGGGGCCTGTGAAGGCAGATAGTAATGCCAAGGAAGGTGGGGATGCATGCCCACATGGGCTGATGCTCTGCTCTCCATCCCTCCACCCCAGGACACTTTTCCCTGATGTTCACAGCTGGTATTGTGGACCACCTCCATGCCCTGATGCCCACAAGGTGAACTGGGGCTGCAGAGTCAGTCATCTTATGGACACTGGGCATCCCAGGGCCAGAGGATGAGGGTGGACCCATGCAGCAGGCAGACTTTACTTCAGATGATAGTAGAGTTGGGGCAGCAGACACTGTGGGGGGCCACATCCTCTGGAGCCAGGTGGCGTGACTGCTGGTAGCCTTGAGAGAGATTCTGGCCCCTTGCTGGGGTCCTGAGCCTGTGCCATCCCCCCCACCGGTCATCTATGTGGACAGCAATTGAGCGGGAATGGCTGGAGAGCCACCAAGAGTGGAGGGAAGTCTTCTCCAGAGGTCAGCAGTGGATGGAAGGGCTGGCAGCATCTGTGACAGCAGCTTTCAGGCACCTGAAGGGAATGCTTGTTGCCATTAGGGAAAGGGACAGGTGCGAATCGAGAGGCTACCGGGAGACCTTTTGGAGGCACTTCAGGGCCCCGCACATGCCCTGTCACCTACCCTTCCTGCTTCATCACCAGCAGGGGTGGTGTGGGGGTTGGCGTGGGGGCACCCTAGGCAGCGCGGGTGACCTGCTGGATGGTACAGCCACTGGTGAGCAGAGGGGATCCATGACTGCACAGACTGTCCACAACATCCTCCTCTTTCCCCTTCCAGGGTTTGGGTGCCCTTTGCTCTATCTGGGCAAGGGGCCAGTTTGGGGTGTCAGTGCGGGGAGGAATGCTGTGGCCCCTGCCACCACTGTGAAGTGCCCAAGGACTTGATGGGATTTGCTCCCTTTAAGGATGTGGGCCGCTCCCTGGCCCTGCCCCTCTCTGCCCCTGAGCTGTAATAGGCACTTGCCTTGGACCCATGCCTGGAAACCCCAACTGGTTCTGGCTGCCCTGTGCATCACGGCCCTGCTGCCTCACCACAACCCCTCCAAGGAATGCAGCAGTGCAGTTCCTGGTGAAGCTAACATGATTTGGCTGCTAGAAGCCAAAAAAACCCCACTTTTTTTCCTTCTGGCCCCCACGTAACCAAACCCTATAGAGACTGGACTAGTGGCACCATAGGTATGTCGAAGCCAGCTACGGCGGCGCAGGCACTCCTCAGGATTGCTCTGCCCATGCCTTATTTTCCTACTAGCAAAACTGTCTAATACTTGAGAGAGACCTTCCGATTTCTGTACCCTGGGCCTATGCTATCTTAGCAAACATAACAGAAATTTTGCCATATGAAAAATAGGGGGGAAAGTCGAAAACAGAAAACAATATTTGAAATAATGAAAAGAAAGTAGCAGAAACACAGGTTAATCAGTGTTAAGAGTTAAACCCTTTATAGACTTAAAAGTGTGTAACCCTGCTTAGGACGTAACTCTCCTAAAGCCGCAATAGGTCTAACACCATATTTGTATTACAGGGCAACCAACAACCTAGAGGAAAAAACGCCCTGCCCCTTCAACAGTGGATTAATGGGATATTATTTACCAGGTGATGAATGTTATTTACCTCCAAGCCATGAAAAGCTTAAGCTGTCCATTTCCACGCATAAAGCCACTGTTAAAGGGGAAAGCCATTTTTTCTGCAAGTTGCTGGCAACTCCAATTCAGTTATTGAGTTAAACTTTATAGTGCCTAAAACACACTCTTCAACAGTATAATATCGCCATACACATTATAGTACATTAGCTGTGGACAGAATTAGTCACATTTGAACAATAAATGCATCATTAAAATATACTGCATATTCTACAGTATACACAGGAATTTTTAGGACTGTAAACTCTGGGTTGAGAAATTCCTGGATATTTGAAACATGGAGAATGGAGAGGGAGGAGTATGGAGAGGAAAGGGATCTCAACAGGGTACCCTAGATTTTTATATAAGATTTTTATATATTTTATGCACATTTTAACACATTGCCTTAAAACGCATTTCATTCATTTAAAAATGCATAGGTGTTTGTTTCAAAGCTCTTCAAAAGTTCCCACTTTCCATAGGGGAAAAACAACAACACTGACCCCCACCCCAGACACCTGCTCATTCTCAGTGCTTTTCATTCTTCCCAGGCCTTCAACCAATTAACCTCTGCCAACCAGTGGATGCCCAAACAATTCAGAATTTATTAAGACAAAAATACAACACAATGTTTTAAAATAAATAAGAAAATCAAATTACAATGATAATTTGGCTAAGTGAACAAGCACCATTTTTGCTGGCTTGGAACAGAACTTGGACTTCGGAAAGCAGTGGAACCTGGGAGTCTTTCAAAATATATTATCAAGATGGGCAGCCGTGTTAGTCTATCTGTAGCAGTAGAAGTGAGCAGTGATTCACGAAAGCTCATACCCTGCCACATACTTTGTTAGTCTTTAAGGTCCAACTGGACTCTTGCTCTTTTATATAGGGGGAAAGTTCCTTGTAGTCCTACAAATCATGCCTGTATTGAGCTGCTAAGAAGGTATTCCAGTTTCCTAGAACAGTATTCCTTCTATCCAGATGAGAATAATTCCCTCTTCATTGTTTTCACTTTCTAGCCCTGGAATGCAGTGTAGAAGCCCACTCATCTTCATTCCAACAAGCAAATGAATATGACCTTTAGTCTTCATAGTTAAAGGACTTAAAAACCTAAGGATTATTGTAGTAGTATACCAACGTGCTGCAAATTCAGAAGTGGTCTGTGAACACTTTAATACAAAAATTAGATTGTGCGGAAGTGCAAAGCAAAATGCATTGCTTTGTATGTTACATGGCTGGGGGGGGGGGAGGCTATGCCACAGAACGATAAAGAACCATATAATCTCCTGCGTTTTTGTTGTTCTTGTTGCTGACAGTCAGAGGGAGATTCAGGTGGGTAGCCGTGTTGGTCTGAAGAAACAGAACAAAGTTTGAGTCCAGTGGGGCACCTTTAAGACCAACAAAGTTTAATTCTGGACATAAGCTTTAGTGTGCATGCTCACTTCTTCAGATACGGGGGGAGGAAGGGAGGGAGGGAGAGAACATGCTTGATTTCATCATTGATTACCATGCTTTAGGAACAGAAAACATTTCAACCTTTACTCACTCTTGGGCCTCTTTTTCCTGGTGGACCAGGTAATCCTGGAGGACCTGGAGGTCCCTAAAGGGGGGAGGGGGAAACAATAAAATGGTTAAGGCTGAAGTAAGACAAATGATTTACTGACAATGCTAACTGCTTTCATTTTGGAAACAGAGACAATTCAGTGCAATCAAGTTCTTCATCAAATGTTCAGCCCACTGAATTGAGCACTATTTGTGAGATTTCTACAAAGGGGCACTGCAGCTATTGCATGTGCACTGGAACTGCAGAGATAAGGAGGGTCATGACACAGGAACAAGACCACACAGGAACAGCATACCCTTTGGGGAAGAAGGGATGGCAATGTTCATGGACTCCCCCTTCTGCTGCAGACCTCCACTTTGCCCCTTGTGGTGTTCTTGAGAGTTCAGTGATACCCCAAGATCAACATTTGGGAGACCTTATTGGGCTTCAGCAAAAGGAAAAAGCAGGAAATTTTCACTCTGGAAAGTCCAGAAGCTTGGATACCACCCTAGCGTATTTAACCTTCAAGGCTAATACTGTTATTGTGTCAATACTGCTTGAATCTTTTTTTTTTTTGGCTGTAGACACTGAGTCCCTTTGCATGTCTCTGCCACAGAGATATAGGGAACACTACATTTCTAAAATCTACATGGAACCACAGAGTTAAAATCATATTCCTTTCCTTCCCTGATCTACCTATTGTCCTCCCAAAACAAACACTGATACCGTTCTGTGTAATCAACCTTCATCTCCTTATAGGAAGGAAGGAATAGGGGTTTACTCATTCAAGCCCCTTGGTTCCCACTCAGTCTTGTAGGGATCCATCACTGAGACCAACAGCTGCTTGCTGGAAGAGACTAAGGACTTCTTTGGGGAAGGGAGAGTGAAACCAGCTATTCATGTTCCTTCCCAATCAAAGCCACATCACTGGGCTCGAGTTACCCACTCATCAGTTTCCTTCTATCTTGTACTATATTTTCACAGAAGTGAAAACTAATGCCTGGGGACTTTGGCCACTTGCTCCCCCTCACCACCCAATTTTTGCCCTCCCAGAAATGGCTATGTGGTTCTGCACTGGCCTCAGCTACAAGAATGGTCCAAGTGGCTTTTGGTTAGAATATGCTAGATTCATATTATGTTGGTGAATGTGGGGAGACAGTTAGTCTGCCCTTAGCAGAAACCTTCAGCTGGCCTTGGAATCAATCCCTAGGCTCCCAACCTCAAGGTGGCATCTGAAGAAGAGGAGGAGGAGGAGAGTTGGATTTATGCCCCACCCTTCACTCAGAGTCCCAGAGCAGCTTACAGTCGCCTTCCCTTCCTCTCCCCACGATAGACACCCTGTGAGGTAGGTGAGTCTGAGAGAGCTCTGAGAGAACTGAGACTGACCCAAGGTCACCCAGTTGGCTGCAAGTGGAGGAGTGGGGGAATCAAACCCGGTTCCCCAGATTAGAGTCTGCCACTCTTAACCACTACACCAAACTGGCTGAAAGACAGGATAATAGTAGCAAACCAGTACAAAGAGGCAAAACTTCAAGCTCTCAGAATAACAACTGAACTCTAGAGATCAGTTTCCCTGGAGAAAATGGCAACTTCAAAAGGCAGACTCTATGGCATTACATCCCCGCTGAGCTCCCTTCCTGCTGCCCTTCCTGGACACGTCACCTAAATCTCCAGCAATTTTCCAAGCCAGAGTTGGCAACCCTACTGCAACCCCATATGTAAGCGTATGTACATTACAAGCCAGATGGAGAAATAAATACATGATAGAACCCCCACTCAGCTTTTCACTAGCCTTTATCAGACCTTCATTAGATGTATAGATGGGCAGGTGCCATCTCAGTCCCATGTATATTTATAGGGAGGTTTGAAAAAAGTTTATTAGTGATGTGGGTCTGAAAATTTTCCTACGCTTTATTTTTCCATGGAGACTTTCCCACCCCACGTACATAAATACAGTCTCAAGTGGGTAGTCATATTCATCTGAAGCAACAGAACAAAGTTTGAGTCTAGTGGTACCTTTAAAACCAACAAAATTTAATTCTGGGTATAAGCTTTTGAGTGTATGCACACGTCTTCAGATACATTGAAATGGACTTCCTAAAGCCTTATGTATAGGTAAAGAGAGGATGGGGGAGGCTTAGTTGACAGGAAAGGCTAGTTAGAGTCAAGGCGCATAAGTGTGCATGCACATGAAATCTTATACCAGAATTAAACTTTGTTGGTTTTAAACGTACCACTGGACTCAAACTTTGTTCTATAAATATACTCTGTTTATCTACAGTTGCCAGGTCTGTTGTGCTGCAAATCAACCATGTGAGATGGGCTAAATGTAGGAGATGAAGCATGGACAAACCCCAGTGCTTGTACATGGTATATTTGGCCTCTTTATTTTAATTGAATCAGAAATTTTCAAAACAATTCTGATTCAGAATTGTAGTCACCACCTCTACTGAGTCATCTGCAATCTTCCTCAGTGGAATGAGTATGTTCCAGGTTATGGACACTAGCAGAGCAGACCTCTGCTGAAGATGTTTAATGTTCAGTTAATGGATTTAATGTTCAGTTAATGTTCAGTTAATGGAGGAGCTGTGCTCCTATAGTATATACCATCTTGCCCACTGGCAGTTGTATGCCACTCATATGTACACCATAAACTACAAGGAACCATGTGGCTTTTCCACTTGTTTGTGGTTTTTTTGAACATCTCTAATAATGCTTTCTCCATATGGCTGCAAGAAGTTACACCACTACATAGAATCCCACGGTCTGGATTTCTTAGCAAATATTGACATTTCCAAAACAAGTGCACTGTAGCTCCAAGACCACCTGTCCAAGGCCATTATGCTGAAAATCACATGCAACAGTGGCTTTAAAATGCTCCTATATCAATACAGAATACACAAATAATAAATCACAATAAATGCAGAAAAAACTAACCAGTTTTTAAAGTACATGGTTTTAATTTACTCTATATGGAAACCTTATAGTCATATCTGACTGGCTGCAAGTGAGTAAAAATCAATCCCAAGCAGTCAGGCAGAGAAGTTGTACAGAAGTTGTTTCTCTTTTTGGTTTTAGGCCACAAATGGCTAAAACAGGTATGTGCTGGCAAGCTAACTGGTGAGCCTTTGTGGGCTCATCTGCAGGCCGCCAAACTACATACACAGTAAGGCTGTATTTGGATGTCATGACATATTCTAAGTAAACAGAAGTTTGTTGGTATCATGAACAAATGCAGCTTATACACTGTGCTTCACAGCACAGCCTTCCCTCCTCCTCCAACACTCGGAGCATGATTGAACTCTTCCCAGTTTGTTTGTTGTAGCTTGTTTGTTCTAACATTCACATGATGATATTTCAGCAACAGGAAGTCGTTTTTCCCAACAAGCCAGGATTCTAAATCACTGTTTAATGCCATTGGGGATTCCTGGTTTCTGGGAAGAAAAGATCTACCAGTTTGCTGAGACACCTGCATTCAGATATCTAAGCAAATTGATATGAATGGAGTTTGATCAAGTGTTCAGTCTACAGATCCATATGCATGGACAAGGGAGATTGGAGAAGGATGCAAATAACCACAAAAAATACTCTTTGTATATGTGTGAAACCAACAAACTGTTTTTTAAATGGACAAACAGCAATTTAGCAATCAGTCATAATTTCTTTACACAACCAAAATGTGGGCTTAAAAAATCCTTTTGCATCTTACTGCATATGGCAGAATACTTCATCTCTGCAATAGTACTAACTTCAAGCAGCTTTATTGTAATCTTGCAGTTCTTTGGTTCAGTAGTGCATACGGTGCTTTCATGCAGCTGGTAATTGCTGCTTTAATCTAAAGAACACAGAAAGAACTAAACCCAGATGTGACTGAAACAAGGTATATTTTGTTATGTGATTGTAGCAGTTTAAGTTTTGTTTTGGATCTTCCATAAAGTTCTTATAACTGAACTAAACATAAATAACACAAAAGGAATCTCAGACTGTATCTGCTTTTCCCACAACACTAGTAGTTCTATCATTTGCTTGGATGATGTACAAACAAATCTACAACATTTATTTTATTAATTTAGATACCCTGCTTTTTCCACATATGGGATCCAAAACCACTCACAACAGCATTCTTCCCCTCCTCCTCTTTATTCTCACAACAAGGACTCTGTGAGACAGGTTAGGCCAAGAGAGAGTGACTGCCCCAAGGATACCCAGCAAGCTTCCATGGCACACTCAAGATTCACACCTGGGTGTCCCAGATTCTACTCTGACACTTTAACTGCTACACCATCCCCTCATAGTTCATTGTGAGCAGACCCTATAACAGCATTTCCCAGTGAAAATGCCACATGCAGCACTGGAACTAGTACCTGCAGGATTATGTTACCAGTCACTTTTTCAGGGTCAGAAAATATTCCAAATCATATAATTATATATCATAAATTAATAACTATATAATTATAGGTGCAAACATCACATTTTTATGCATTAGTTTTACAAATGACTAAAAATATGTCACATGCCCAGACTCTAAAGCATCCTGTTACTTGGTGACTGGGATTTATGATGTAATGCTTGAAAGGATAATGAAACACAGTTGCTAGCATTTTAATGATTTAGTTTATACACATAAGTAGGGAAACCAGCATACTTCCCTTCTTACATGTGCTACTCAAAGGAAAAAAGAGTGCACACCTCCCAGTATCACAACTTTGGCACCAGCATGAATGTAGGAAGCAGTTCCCAATAACATGATGGTCATGACAATGATGCCACAGCTGCTTTTGCCTTATCAGGGAGGCTACACTATTAGTAACAACAAGGGGAGACCCGCAAGAAACTTGTGGGGAGGGGGCATTTCCCCCACCTTTGCTTGCCTCTCCCCCCTTCTCTGTCAAAGTTCCCTCCTGTCTTATCTATCAATCTTCCCTCACCTCCCCTTCTCCTCTCACTCCTTCTATGTCAGTTCTCCTCCCCACCCCCTTCTCTAGGAATCCTTTCTTACCCCCTTTCTTCTCTCTCCCCTTCTATGTCTCACCCCTCTTCCCCCACCCGTTGTCAGT